TATTTTATTAATTTCAAACAATTTAAGAACACCTCTAAAACATTTTGAGGATACACCTTTAAAAATTCTATAAGACGTGGATAAATTCATTAACAAAAAACTTAAATCATTGTCTCAAATGTATTTGATTAGAGGTGAGCATTCAGCCAATTCGGCAAATTTGAGTAACATTTTTAACCGAAATGAATGAATTAATTGATTTTTTACTTGACTGAATTTAACCGTACATAACCAAATCATTTCGATGGAATTAATTTTGATCATTAACCGGTCCAAAATTAATGAAAATAAAAATTTAATTAACTGATCAAATTTAACTAAAATTTTTGATTAATTTTAACCAAAATTATCAATCACTACTTAATCAAAATAAAACTAAAATTTTTGAATTTTAATTTTATTATCTACTTAATCAAAATAAAAAATGGCATAGTTTTAAGAGTCGGTTAATTTTATTAATTCGGTTAAATTAAATTTTAATCGAACTTTTAACTGATCACTAAAAATATAATTTTCTTTAACCGAACATTTGAATCGGATTGGCTGAATTGGCAAATGCTTACCCCGATATTTGATAATTATTGTCACATCCATATTTTCTAAAATTGTCATTAACATGAATTTTCAGGATTTTTATAGTCTAATTATGCATTAGTATTTTTAAATTATGATTCTAGATGATTTATAATGAGTTCTGATAATTGATTTGCCATATGGGCATTTTGGTAAATTATAGTGTCGTGAGATTGTATTTTGGTAACACACTGTATTTTAAGTATGTCAGTTAATTATTATGTCATGCATGTGCGTTTGTGTGATTTTAGCCTCTAAATTGAAAAGGATAAATATATTACAATCATATATATATATATATATATATATGAAAGTTGAAATAAAGAGAAGGTTTAAGGTCTTTTCTTTATTCAGTATTCTATTGTTTTAAAAAGAAAATTTTGCTGTGAGTAATAATAAATTTGCATACCATTATCCGCATACATGCATAATTCATTTTATACTATATAAATATATTTAATACTCATATTATATTTTTACATATTAATAAGATATTATTGAAATATAATTATTAATGTCATTATCTATCTTATAAACATAATATTTTAACTATGCTATTGTTATATATTCATGTACACTATGACTATACTCATGTGTTGCATATTGATTACTGATATGAATTGTTATATTGGATAGATTGTTTGAATTAATTGTGATATGATAATTCTGTGCCTTGTTTGTGTGTGGAATTGAGATGATGTGGGTCACCATGAAATTGTGAGGGCTGTCTCAAATACCGTCGGCCAAGTAAGGGAGATTGGCGCTCCTGTGTGCACTTGATGAAATATGATACGAATGATATGGAAAACTATAGGGTGACCTCATGTTAATAATGAAAAGAAAAGAGGAAATGGAGAATAATGTGAGGATTGGTCAGGTGAGGATTAGACCAGTTGGCCATGTAAAGAGGATTGGCTCCCTGGTGCACATGTATGAGAGGACATGCCATGTGTGAGGACGACTTATTGGGAATTTCAGTGACGTCATTGAGTAATATCCACTTGATATGTTTCTATGAAGGTGATATCGTTGAAAATGCTGGTATCGTGACATATGCTTGATTTATTGTGCGTTCACTATACAAATTTGGAAAGCATTTTGCGTGACTGTTTGGATTATGCATTATTTATTATTATTCACTGAGTTTGTGAAACTCATCCATTTCCTTTAAATTTTTCCCAGGAGGTAGACATTTTACTGATCCAGATAAGCTCTGCATCCTTCTTCACAGAGATTCAATAGTAATTTTCAGCTTTTGATAATATATATATAGTATTGTGTGTATCAACAATCCGCTTCTATTTATTGGGCTCTGTAGTTAGAATGTTTTGCTTTACATCTTATTATGTAAAAATTAATAGTGTACTGGTCAGTAAACCTGTGGATTATTTTCTAATTGTCTATTCTAAATTACAGATGGACCAGTTTATCCATAGTATATAAATATACAGGCCTGAGCTATGAGTGATATGAGACATTAAAGTTGGGCCAGAGATATAATTAGACAAATCAACTAAATAACCTCAAAATATGGACTTATTATTTCTAGAGTCAGTTTTTGAAAGAAATGGGTTTCGTAAAGCAGGCTTACTAGGGCCTTGGGGCCTTAAAGCTTACATGGGCCATAGTGCCAATTCAGCCACGATTTTGGGTCGTGACAACAGCCATGGAGTTTATATGCACATATATTTAATATATCAAAAACAAAACGAAATACTATTATTCGAGTTTACAACGCCAAATAATCCTCCTTGGAATGAAATTTTCAAATTGATTTTGTTCTAGTATAGGTGGAATCTCTTTATCAAGCCAATGAATATTAGAAACAAGTTTTCTAAAAGTTATAAGGAAATAAGTAACACGAAGAACAATAGTTCTTTTAATATTCATATAGAAATAATCATTTAGAATAGATAAACTATAATACCCTAATTTTTAGGTTTGTCTTAGATTATGTCTAGTTTTTAAAAGGATGGATCAAAAAAATAATCTTCATCTTTCCTTAATTTGAAAAACTCAAGATGATATTGAAAATATTTAGGTAAAGAGTTATGAAGAGCTAAATACTTTCAAATTCATTCATAACTCAACTATTAAAAAATATCATTTGAATAGCGAAATTAACAATTTTAATGTGTCTAATAATATCATGATCAAAATTCATCATACAGTTATTCACATTATTAACCATAATATGAAGTCCATTTCTAGCTGCATGACTTCTTGAAATTAGAGTTTTACGAAGTTTAGGTTTTTCGGGATAATATCTATTCCTTTTCCAATATATATATTTTTGAAGTACGAGAATTCTTTGTAGGCGAGCCATGTTCCCTTTTAACACATAAAGAAAAAACATAAATGAGTTACATAGAATATATTTATCTCGAGCCACTTGTGACATATAGACAAATAATTTACAAAAAATTAAATATCACAATCATATAAAATTCAATTATAAAAAAATATGTATTCTAATTTAATTTGATGTTCACATATGTAAGGAATTAAGGAAATAGACAAAAAAAAAAAAAAAAAAAATTAAAAATTCAATTATAAAAAATAATAATGTAATTCTAATTTTAATAAAAAAAAATTTGATGTTTCACATAATGTAAAGGAATTAAAGGAAAATAGACACAAAAAAAAAAAAAAAAAAAAAAAAAAAAAAAAAAAAAAAAAAAAAAAAAAGGGATTAGATGTATAAATATACATCACTTCAAACCCATCGAAACCCCATAAAATTTTTTTTCAAAAATTTCTAAATTTAAAGTATGTTGCAAGGTGTCCAACTATACTTTGCTAGTCTATTTGAATTTCTATCTATGACAATTAAAAATTTTTAATTATTTTTATGTAATACTGTTTTTTTAAAGATATACATTGTTTAATTGCTATATTCTATTAAGTTTTGATTTTCTGATATTTGGTTCTCCTAAATATAATATTAAAAAAAAAAAAAAAAAAAAGGATTAGATGTATAAATATACATCACCTTCAACCCATGAAACCCATAAAATTTTCAAAATTTCTAAATTTAAGTATGTGCAAGGTGTCAACTTTGCTAGTCTATTTGATTTCTATGACAATTAAAAATATTTATGTAATACTGTAGAAACATGTTAATTGCATATCTAAGTTGATCGAATTTGGCCTAAAAATGCAAAATTATCACTGTGACAAGAAAATTCCACATGGCTTGCTTTCCATGTTCATAACTTTATATATACTTCATGAAATTCAATGATTTTAAAGGTGAATGAAAGTTAATCTGTAATATTATAAATACATATAAAATAAATATATTATTATTAATTATTTAATAATTTTTATGGGTACGGGTTGCGCTCGATCTGTCATTGGTACCTCGATCCATTTAATTTATAACAGAAAGTAAGGAGAGCTCGAGCCATTAGGAGAAGAAAATAACATGAGCCTTTGGATGCAGAGATTATATATAATAACATGTTCAATTCAAATAAACCCAACTAGATTTTGAAGTTAAAATTTAAACAATTTCAAAATTTAAAATTTAAAGTTTTAGTTGCATTAGGTTAGATGATTAGATTAAGATTAGATTTAAAGGTTATCGATCATCAGTATTATATACTAAATGTTAAATTGAATAATCAAAATATAGAAAAATAATAAAAGCTTTAAAAAATGTTGAATAAAAAAAACGCTTTGAACTTTCTTTTTGTTTTAGTTTACTGGACTGGTTTGACCAGTGTAATAGGGAACTGGACCGTGATCCAGTCTGGATTGGATAATAACATTAATAGCTTCGAAAACCAGTGAAAACCGGATGAAAATGATTAAAAATCGAAGATCTGAACCTGTAATTAGTACGTTTCAATTCAAATTTTGGATTTTTCTCAAAATACGAGCTCTTAAAAATTGGGTTTATTGATTTTTAGTTTTTGAGCCTCTTTATTTCTAAGTTCAAAATCTTAATTTGTTAATCAAAATAGCTAAATTACCTCATTTTAAAGCCAAATGAGAAAAATAATAATATTTTTTATAATAATTAATTTTTTTTGTTTAGTATTAAATTTAGTCATGTTTTTATTCTTTTTGTTTAAAATTATTTAATAATCTTTGTTATTCTTTTCGTAAAAGCCAAATTTGAGATATTGATATCAAAGTTTTTCTTAAACATTATATTTTCAATTATTTTAATAAATATATTTGAAATATTATAATATGAATCCGGTGAATCGTATTCAATCGTCCGGTTCAGTAATCCAACCTTTACTGAATCGCTAACCGATTCAATTCTTCGTATAATTTTTATATATCTCTTGTGATGTATATATTATATATATATATATATAATATATATAATAGTATATATATATAAAATCAAATATAGGTCTTCAAACAATACCCAGAAAGGGGTATATATATAAAATCAAATATAGGTCTTCAACAATACCCAAAAGGGGTGAATTGGGTTCTATACAATTTTTGTGAGTTAAAGACCCTTTTCAAATATGAGTATAAGCAATGTGATTTTCAATGAATTTTCATATTATAAAAAGCATATACAAATCATTTAATTTTGTAAACTGGTCATTTTTTTATGAGGTTTATTATATATATTACTATATTTTTCGGATAAATTCCGGTCTGGTCTGGTTAAAAACTCCCTGCAGAACATTTCCGTTTCAATCTATACCTTTTCTCTCCCTTTTTTTTCCTTCTGCTTTTTCTCTATGTTGTCTGTCTGCTGCTCTCTCGCGCGCCCTTGTCCACTTCCATCCGCCGCCTAAGTTCACCGCTGCTGCAGCCATCTTTGTCACCACAAGCACCTAACTTCTTCACTACAGTTCGAGATTTATGAAACCATCGAAGTAATTAACTGCTGCTCTTCCCCTAATTCCATTTTTAGATCTGAATCTATAACCTCTCTATTGGTTTGTCACGGAATTTCTGTCTATGCATTTTTTCTATGATAGATTTGTCTATTTTCGTTCTTTTTTTTTTTTTGGGTTTTTAGGGTTAGGTTCTCTCTCAATTAATGTATTTTGTTTAATAGGCTAATTTCTGATTATTTCTCTCTTCTAATAATAGCTACCGAATCAAATTTGGTTTTAATAGTAGCTACTTTATTGATTACTTTGATTTGGCATAGATATGCATTAGGCAAGCATGAGTGTACTTATTCTTCTTGTGTTCTTGAGTTTGGCGCCTTTGAAATTTCTGGTGGTGAATCTGTTAAGGGCAATTGTATTTCTAATACGTTAATGCATCCACCTCGTGTTTGCAGATAGAAAGAGAAGACTCTCCAAGTTGAAGCACTAATATTATCACGTTTCCTTTAAAGCTTCTCTTTCCAAAGATCTGTGGCTAGTGAAATTAGCTTTATCATCATCATCCAAGCTCAAAAATGGTCAGATTAGTTCTAACTTGTTACTTTTCGGCTTGATGAGCATACCCATAAGCGTATTTTTCTCAGCATGCAGATGCTGTATGCTATATGGATAGAATAGTTTCTAGCCATACATATCTCATTTATACTAAGTTGTAAGTCATATAGCTGACCCAGCTAGTTTGAGATTAATGCTTAGTTGTTGTTGTTGTTTTTGTTTTTCCAACGTCTTACTACAAACTTTAGTTGGGTATTTGTTTTGTGTTATGTTCAATTATTTGGTACTGGAAGTGTAAGTGAGTCTTGGGATGATGTTTGGAAGTTTCAGACTTTGTGGATTTTGACTCTTTTTGCCTCATAGTTTAGCAGCTATTTGGTTGTTGAGGAAGTTGGAAAAAAAGAAAAAGATAATTGCATTTTTACTCCCCATATTTGACGCCAGCCAATTCCAAGATTTTTGTTTTTCTATTTCAAGAAAACATGAAAAGCATAAATCCTTCATTAATAGTTTTAAGTATTTCAAGAAAACAATTAAAAAAATATATATATTTGATGAATTGTAAACACTTTATTGATAGTTTTTTGCATTTGAACTTTTTTTTCTCATTTGTTTTTCGCTATCTGGTTACTCTTTTTGACACTTGTAGATTATGAGATGAGTTGGCTATGCATGTATTTCCCTTCTTACTCTTATCAATATGGCAAGTCTACCTCACCCCAGTTGTTAGCGTAGAAGTCCCCATTGGCCTGGGTTTTGACATTAATTGTTATCAGTTCGTTAATGATCTACTTAGTGATACTTTTGTGCTATCATTTTTTCCTCTCGTTTTGACAGCACAAGTTAAGTAGAGGCAATCGTGACAAAGTCCAGCAATTCATGACAATAACAGGGGCTAGGTGAGCTAGTAAATTACAGTTACTATTGCTATTTAACTTGATCCATATTTGGTGCCTCCATGATAATTAATTGGTTGAAGGGCCATATTTTTTGCTTTTATATTGTTATAAAATTGGGAAACGTCTGAAATTGCGAGGAATTTTTTATTGATATGAATGTGTATTTGATTTGAGTTCCAAGATGAAAATCATGAAAGATCAACATGGTGCCTAATTCCAAATACTCTATCAGTTCAAATTGCTAGGCTATCCAAATTGACCCTTTTGGCACAAAAATATGAATTTTCTTTTGTAACAGTTGCGGTTGACTCTATGAGGAATATTATTTTCCTTTAAATCACAATAACTAAAATCTTTATATATTTATATATGCCATTGCCTCTTGTTTGGAAACCCAAGTTTTGCAACAATTAATACAATTGAGTTCTATTTTGCTAGTTCTTACGTTTGGAAAACATGTAATAAATTCAATCGTTTCAATTTAGAAAAGAACTGACATTGAAGTAAATACAAAGCACACCATTTTAGGTTTGAATTGAATCCTTCAATTTAAGACTGAAGTCATGGTCAACTAAAACTAATACCCTTTAATTTGTACCCCAATCTCTTGGAGAGTACTAAATACTGTTAGTTGTTCTCAAACCAAGGAAATTTAATAATACAACAGTCTAATTATTATTGATTTGCATATAGTTTTGAATAATTCTTACACAAGCATTCAATTGAATTCCTCCAGATGACTTCTTCCGAAATGGAGCCAATAGGTATTAACAAGTTCCAACATCAAGACTAAATAATGGGTATTAATAGTTACAATATCAAAACTAAGTATTTATCAAGTAGAACATTTTCACTTATGAGAGAGAAAGCTAACTCGATCGCAAGAAATGATGGAAAGGTTGAAGCCCCAGTGGCAATCGGTAGTCACCACCAAAAGAAGCATCTTGGAGAATCTTAGTAGTGTTGTCTGTCATCTTAATCATCTTGCTTTTTTGTTGTTGTTTCCATGTGATCCATAATGGCCATATATATGTCATTTGCTTGCATATCCTTGCATTGATTCATGATATTAGCCTTGAGATGCACCTGAACATCTAACTTTCACCCCTATCTTTGCAACTCCTTGCAATAGAAGAAATATGTGCATTTGTCAAGGTGAACTCCTTGGGAGCCATAATTTTAGCAACTTCAAGTGCCGTTGACTATCTTTTTGTATTATTGTCTTAAACGATGCGCAGCCGCCATGTTGAAAGTAATTAGCTGAATCAGAAAATATAGAATTGGAATCTTTTATACCTCTTTTGCCTTAAGTGCATCTGGGGCGTGCCATTTAACAATTATAAATAAATTTCATCCAAGGAAAAGATTTTTGTTCACGTTTTTATGGGGATAACCTCTTCTGCATTTGCTTTAAATTTTGCTTTTAATGTCATCATCTAATTCAACTTCTGTGGTAGTGGCCTTGTAATGTTATCCATTTTTAGGTTGTAGTTTGTTTTACTTTTATTTTCAGTAGATTTGATTGAATCTCCTTACTTTTTAAGATGATAACTTGTTTTAAATTAAATAATGTGTTTGTCTATTTATGATATGGGTATTACTATTACCTTGTTTCTTGCATTCATGTTGATTTGAATTAGGATTGGACATCTTAGTCATTGCTTTTAAATGCAGTGAGAAAGCCGCATTGCAGGCTTTGAAGGCAAGAGATTGGCATCTTGAAGGTGCATTTGATGTTTTCTACAGCCAACCTCAGATTAAAACGTTTACTGATTCTAGAAATTTGGAAAAGCTTTACAACAGATATAAAGGTAAGCTTTACTCTTCTGTCGACTTCTCTCTCTACCTCGCACTTAAAGTGATGCATTTGATTAATGTAGTAAAACCATTGATATCAATAAATCGACTGTCTTAACCAGTTAGGGTCAACTATATAAATGATTCTTCCCTCCATTTTATTGCTCTGAACACAATTAGTTCTAAAAACTGAATACACCCTTGAACAAGGTCTCTTATCTCAGAGAATGTGCAGTCACATGCTTTGTTGCTTGTGGTTTCTTGTAGCAGTATACCGGTGTTTATCTTCACATGTTATAGCTATGTGAGTAGACTTGTGAACTGCTTGCATTCAACTGTCTAGGTTTTATGATTAATTAATTAATTTTGCATATGACAAGAGCTTCAGATCTTTACAAGCTTATGATCAACTTTGCCTGGTCAAGCAAACAATTTACATTTGTCTTCAAGGCGCAACATTATAGTTAATTGATTTGTATGTTAAGGTTTTACTTTGCAGTTCTTTGATATTATTGATACATTGTCTTGTGCAATTTGCGCTTGAGCAACATATTGAGATCGTTTATTGAAGTCTCATGTTGCTAAGAAGATAGCTTTTTCTAAGTTTTTGAAGTTAAGAACTTGTTTAGGTAATGGGTGTTGAACAAGGGAATAAAAATTTTTGACAGGTATTCAAGGGTAAACACAGTGATGCTTCATATAAAAGATTTTTCCATATAAATTTATGTGGCTCGTGGTGAAACACATTGCTGTTCATACACATTGTGTGAAGCCAGTTGATGCAGCCATTGGAAATAGAATTATCCATTATGGTTTATGCAATTTTTGTTTTCCAAAATTAGGAACTTTTTTTTTTTTTTTTTTTATCAATTTTTGTTTTCCAAAATTAGGAACTTTTTTTTTTTTTTAGTGAGATTTTTTTTTTTTTTTTTTTTAGGTGAGAATGTTCTTCCTCTCCTTTCCCCTTCTTCCATTTTTTCTTCTTTCCAGTGTTACTGAAAAATTGTTTCACCCCAGCAATTTGTATTATCCATTGCATGATCATATGGTAGATAGCAAGCAGCCATAGGTAGGAAATCAAACAATCTTAGTCACAAAAATCAAATCTTAAATTTTGGGATTCGGATATGCATATCACATATCATTTTTCTGATTGAAACTAATTTTTTATAATCATAGGATGTTAGAACTCTTTATGGTTACTGTTATACCAATTATAGTATAAGACTATGATATATTTCCTTGTGTATGCCATCCAGATAACGTATTTTGTCCTTGGCAAATGGTTTGAAAGAATCCTGTCCCCTCTAAACCACATTTCTAGACATGGATGTTTTGACTTCCTCTTTTCTTTCCACATACTGGAGCACTCCACACTTCTGGTACCCCCTGGTTTTTCATTTGCACCAAGTCGTGGGGACCAGGTAAAGATGGTGGAGGTTGAACGACGTTGTCATAAGTCATAACTGCTTGCTACAGAAGGACTGAGATTTTGAGATGTCAAGAAAAATTGCCTGTTTCAAACAATTTTATTTTGTTTCCGCGCCACTACTATCAATTTTCAATAGCATGAATGGCCTATGATAGAATTGACCTTATGTGTCTTGATAGGCCTATTTGAAATCATTGATTGCAGAATTGTGGTTGAGTTGTCAAATCGAGAATTGAAGCGAGAATTGAAATCCCTATTTTTAAAATTGAGAATTGAGAATCGAATTGAATTGTAAGATTCATTTGATCAATTAAAAATTATTAATTTTATTCAAAAAATACAAAAAATCGAGATGCAAATCATAAAATAAAATTGAATTGAATAACGTATAGATGTTGGTACTTGATTGTAATTGCAGAGAGTATAATTGTAATTGTGTGAATTAATTTGGGCATTAATTGTAAATATTTTGTTGCCTTATGACGCGGCAGTGATTAAAAGTGTACTACAAATAGTCTACTGATGCATATATGGAAAGATTAGTCATTTCTCCCCTAGTAATATCTGTTCAAATCATCTCTCTTTAATTATTTGTATTTCTGGCTTTGTGTTCTTTCTCTTTCCATTTCTCTCTCTTCGTCTTTCTCCTTTTTTCTTCTTTCTCTGCTATTTTCTACTTGTTTCTCAGTAGACAAATACATATTAATGCATGGAGCAATTTTCTCTTCTACTTTACTTTTTTCCAACTGAATTCGGAATCGTGTGAATTTACTGCGACTGCTACTGCTACGATTCACTGCCGATTCGACCGATTCATCACTGATTCAGGCTTCTTTCCGATTTTACACTAAGTTCGTATCGTTTTCCATTAGATTCGATATGAATCGTATGATTTGAATCGTGAATCATACAATTCTAACAACACTTAATAAATGGAGAGTCCTATGATTCCAATTATAGGGAATTGATGATTTTATATTGTATTATGGCAACTAAAATGAAATTTAGAGCCAACGGACTTGCAGAAAGTTTGGAACTCATATCTCCATTTCTATATTGTTATTATATCAGATTGCCCCTATGCAATTGCATTTAAATCATTGGGGTATATATATGTTTGTACCAATCAGTCTTGTATGTATTTAATTGCAGTCTTATTTGGTTTGCAAAATGGGTTCTTAGAGTTTTTCAAAGCTATTTACTCAATGATAATACCTAAAGTGATTTTTGTGGCACATAATATTTTACCTATTTCTTGTAATGGTTGCAACTTGGGCAGCCTAAATATGACTTTGGATTTGTTTGTATCCATGAGTGAGCCATTTATATTTGGAAGACACTCATGATGGACAAAAAATTTCTTGTCCTCACGTAGTGATACACTCAGCAAGTTCTTGTACTTCGATTTTGAACAAATTCATATTTTGTTCATGATATGAAACATGGATATGTTAATGTGTGAGAATAGGTTCTTGTTTAACTGAGAATATATATAAATAATTTGTTTTGCAGATCCTTATGTCGATATGATATTGGTTGATGGGATCACTCTCCTTTGCAATGAACTCCAGGTACCTATTCTGATTGCTGGTTAATTAATACTTATGCAGATTGTAATTGTTGTAATCTTAGAATTTCATTGATATGTTTTAACACTATGCTATATTTGAATCTCATAAATGTTGTCCAAATACGTCAATAAACTGGCATGTGTTTGTAACATTGTGTCGTCTGAATTATCATACGATTTGTTTTTTCACGTGCTGTAAATAACATTTGAACCTTTTTTATTTTTTGGCAGGTGGATCCTCAAGATATAGTTATGGTATGTGTCGATTAATTGCCTTTATACTTAACTTCCTTTTTACCATAGTAATTAAAGGCGCAACATGCACCAAGGCGCAAAGGGGTCCTGGGACTGGGTCGCTAAATTGAATCTGTCAAACACTCCGGGAGAACTAGACAAGAAAAAGCAAATGTGAAAAATCAAAGTAAAAAAAAAGAAAGAAAATAGGAGTTGTTGAAGAGAAGAAGAAAGGAAGGAGAAAAAAGATAAGAGTTGTCTGGAAAGGAAAGAAGGAAAGAAACAGATTTGTTTATTGATAGAAGAAGAAAAGAAAGGAAAGAAAACAAAAAGAGTTGTATGTTGAATAGAAGAAGAAGAAGAAAGGAAAACGCGGAAAAGAAAAGGAAGCTAAGGCATGTGCCTCAAGCTCATAGGTGCACACTTGGGTGATGTTGCCTGTCTTAGCCAGGTTAGGGTGCAAAGGTTTGGGCCTTGTGGGCCTTTCGCTTAGGCGCACCTTTAATAACTATGTCTTTTGCCCTGTAGGCATAAACTTCAAAAACAGTAGAAATTTTTAGGTAGATACACAAGGTTTTGCTTCTTTATACTGCTGCCTTTGCGGTTTCCTGCAGGCTTTGCCTTAAAAGCTTAAGTGATGTGGTGTTTAATGATTGGAAGATATGAGGAAAGGCCATTGCATGGTCTTCCTGCCTTTTGTGGGCCTATAGTCTAAAGAAATCATGATGGGATTTTTGTAAGGGTACATAAAAGGGAAGCAAATACAGTCATTGAGCTGGGGGCTGCACTTTCATTCATGTTCGAGGCAAGTTTAATCTGGCTTCACTGAGGAACTTCTGTAAAAAGTCTATAGTAGAATTATTTATCTGAGTTGGTGATGGGCATGAAATTTAAGGAACAGCGGGTCAATTACTATATTGTTATTTGCTGGGGGTCCTTATTGTTGTTAGACGTGGAGAGGCAATCGGAATGGTGCTGTATCTCCTCTGACTTACAAGTTGTGGAGCTTTATAGGAGAGTTTATTCTACCATGGAATCATAGGTGGCCTTGAGAGTCAATTTTCTAGTTTTTTCACTGTTTAAAGATCAATATAGTTCAAAATTCTAGAGTTTAAACATGGTCTTGAGTGAATGAGGTTAGTTAAGTATTTCTTTCAATTTTCAAAAAGAAAAAGTAAGATTAGGAGTACGCTGATTAATAGAGCAGGCAAAAAAAGGGTTAATATCGTGAGGTGGGAGAGCTGTGGAGAGAGGAACAGAAAAACAGAGGTAAAAAAAATAAAAATAAAAGAGAGGAGAAAGGAAAGAGAAGAAATAGATGTGAAAAATAATGAAAGAAAAGGGATTTGGCACAGAGAGAGAGAGATTGTGCGCGCGTGTGAGAGAGAGAGAGAGAGAGAGAGAGAGAGAGAAAGGCAGGAGTAGGGCAAAGGAAAAGAGAACTGGATGATGGTGGGACCAGGTAGATGCCCAGTTTTGTTTTGAAAGCTGTGATAATTGTAGAAATAATTAGGTATGCTTCCTTGTGCTGTTAAACCATGTGGGCCCCACAATGAGTCACGCATGGTGGTGCCCACAACATTATAAGTAGGAGGAAGCGTGCTCCTGTCTTACTCAATGATTCCTCCAACATATTGTAATTTCTTGGTCTGAGAATATCCATGAGATAAGAAAGATGGAGAGTTTTGAGACTCTAGAGTCTCGACTCTTTCCTAGATTTGGTATTGCTATAGGTATGTACATCTGATGGACTTCACCAGAAGTATGCTCTTGTATGTGTCCTTCACATACTGTCTCATTTTATAAAACTTCAGTGTTCCTCGTCGTCAAATATTGTCAAGCATATATGTTTAGTTCAATATGTTACTAATGCATGCAGCTACTAATTATTGCAGCTAGTTGTTTCATGGCACATGAAGGCTGCCACCATGTGCGAATTCTCCAAGCAGGAATTCATTGGTGGATTACAAGCTCTAGGGTTTGTGTATATATGTTTTCAGTTTGTTTTACTGTGGTCCCTAATTCTGGTGATGCTAGTCTGAAATCATGATGTACTTTGATGGCAGGATAGATTCTTTGGAGAAGTTCCGCGAAAGAATACCATTCATGCGTTCTGAGCTGAAAGATGAACGTATGTACAAGTCAACTGTCAAGAACTTTATATTAAACAGATTTCACTTTTGCAGAAGTTTAGTATTGACATTCGCATATTCTGAAAAATTTCTTAATTCTTGAAGATATCTATTTATTTATTTGCTAATATGATCTTTCGTTGTTGAATGTCCAGAAAAGTTCCGTGAGATATACGAGTTTGCTTTTGGTTGGGCAAAAGAAAAGGTACACATTTTATACATACAAACTGATATATTCCTCTGATAATCTTTGGGTTGCTTACTTAGTATGTAAAAGTCATTTTAATATGCCATTGATGGAGCACAGTTTTAACTGTTAGTGGTACTTATTCTTTAATTTATTTTGTTTCTTTAAAAGCCTGCTTTCAGGATGGAGTTCTTGTAAATAACTCATTTGTAATCAAACAGTTCCATTTTAAATGTCTCTATTAGTTGACCATTCACTATGTAAATAGATTCCAACTCTTCTCTGATTTTACATTTTGCCGTTTCTTATTGTGGTGCTGATTTCTACACTTAAAGTTCCATTTATTTTTTGATTAAGAATTTGCATGTTTGGTAAGACTTTTCGAGGGGTTGATCACCAGCATTCTTTTATCTGCTGGTGCTGATATTTAGCTGTACCTCTACTTATATATGCCTAGTAACTTGCACTTTATACTCTAAAGCCATGTTCACCACGTAGAATGGAATGGGGAACGGAATCTCTATTCTCCATTCCATTGTTCGCTATCATAAATAAGAAGAGAGAATAGGAATAAGATGGGAATAGAGGAAGAATAGAAATTCTTTGTAATGGATTGGAATAGACGAGGAATTTTATTTTTTTATTTTTTTATTTTTATTTTTTTATTATTTTTTTTTAAAGAGACAAATACAGCCTTATGTTTTTGCAAAATATTAAATATGCCCTTTCATTTTGGCGTTTTGGTCTTTTTAGTGATTCTCAATTCCATTTCTTCTTTCATTACTATAACCAAAACAAAGGAATGGAACTGGAATTCCTATTTCATGCTGTGTGCCAAATCATGGGAATAGGATTATCTATTCTTATTTATTATTTCATTCCATTCCGAGTACCAAATGTAGACTAATTGTTCTTTAACTGTTTTTCTCTCTCCTCCCCCTACCCCAAAGGCTTTCTGTATTTCATAATATAATTTTTAGTTTTTTTTTATTTCTATAATGGAGTCTTTATAATGTCAAACAAATGTGGGTTGTGAATGTAATTTTGTGTGATGGGAGAAATCGAAAATGGAAAAGTATAATTTGGTCGCTAAATTATAGTCAAGTTAATATGAGTTTAAAAACTAACTATGAGGTCTCTAAATTAAACTTTCATCCTTCAGTTCAAAATAGCCCCTTTTGACCGTCAATTGGCTGAGAAAAGATGAAATTGACCTTGTATAAAATAGAGTTTTAAGGTGGAAAAATATAAATTAGTCCTTAAATTATAGTCAAGCTAACTATGAAATCTCTAACTTATAATTCCATTAACACTTTGGTCTCCCTGTTTTGCGCGAAAGGACCAAAGTGTTAACGGCATCATAATTTAGGGACTTCATAGTTAGCATTTGAAAACTGAGGTCTTGATGTGTTAATTTTACTATAATTTAGGTATTAATTTTTTTTTTGCCAACCGAAAATGTTATGTTGGTAGTCATATCCAACTTAAAAAGTTCAATATTATTTCTTATTATATTGAAACCTGATATGAATCCTGGCATAATTTTTTGAAAGACTACTTTTTTTTTTTTTTTTTTTTCTTGTGAAAGACTTTACCTTTTTTTTTTTTTTTTTTTGTTTCTTATTCTTGATTTCTACCTTCATAGAAGGAAACAAAAATTCTTTTTTTTTTTTTTTTGTTCTTATTCTGATTTCTACCTTCATAGAAGGAAAACAAAATTTATTATCAAGAGAAGATTTAGTTTACACTTCATTGTGACACTTTACCTATTATTTTGATTTGATGTATTTCTTGGTTAGTATGTAACTGGTTTGGACAGTCTTGTTTTGCCATATGCGATTCATTTGGGAGGACTTATTTGGTCTTTCTTGAAGTAATGTCATTCACTAGATTCAACTCCCCCAGCGCTCTACCCCCCTCGAAAAAAGGAGGCCTCAACTTTTTGTAGGAAAACAAATTTGGATAGCAGTCGAGTTGATAAGCAAATGCTTGATACTTTGGGTTTAATGGGTTAACGACCAGGATTAATGTGCAGTCAGTTGATTGCTTCTTACGGAATCATTGTATTTATGGTAAAAGTCCTAAAATGAAAGTATATTTGATAAAATTCCATTTGCTCAATGGAATTGATGTCCAAAACTCTCTATCAAAGAGGTCCACCCTTCTTTTGTTGAAGTAAGCACAATTGGTCAGTCTATCTGATAAATGAGATGACTTTTTAGTATTTCTATTCTGATTTTGTTGATAATGAATAAGAATTGATATGTAAGAAGGTGGGTTGAATTTTTTATTTTGGCAGTTTTTGACCATCATTTATACTGTGAGATTGCTTTTCTTTTAGTTTGCTGTTTGACTTTTCTTTTCCTCTTTCATACTTCCATTGCTTTGCTTACCTTTCCCTGTATTTCTCTTTTCATGTTTATTACTAACTACATTTTATATAAAGTGGACACTTTTTTGGGTCTTTGAAATATACCAATTAGAAATTGACTTTTTCAAAATTTTTTTGGCCTAATTTAGTGTTAAAAGTTAAATAAATGGTAGGTAGCCAATGCTGCTACAGCTGAACAACTTCTGCTTGCTATTGTCAGTTTTAAGCCTAAATTTGGTTCATTTCAGTTTGAACATGCAAGAAGTTTGGTTATTTCAATTTATATAAACTTTGCAACTTTGCAATGTTATAGCCCTTTATTCTTAACCTTACTTTTTCTCCTACTATAGGCTCTTGAAGAAAGAGTTATATAACCACCTACTCAATGGATTAAAGTTTGAAATGTTGGTATTGATCTGTAAAAGCTTTGCACATTTTTAACAACATTTCATTCTGATTATTTCATTCAAAGAAGCCTAATCCCAATGTAATATTCCAGGATAGTTAGCATTCTACATTCCTGTATTCCTTTCATGTGCTGGAGCAATCTCCTCTATTTAACAGTGTTGTAATCTCGACAATTATTGAAAAATATGCAAATGCTTTCAAATTTAGATATTTAATTAGATCTCTCAGGGATTTGTATATTCCATGCATCCACTTGCTTTATCCCTCACCCTTTGATGCGACTTTATAAATATTTATTGCTGGAGAATATCTATTATCTTATCTTTCCTCTTGAACATGTCTGTATTGTCCCCACCCAAGAAGCGTAAGTGTGAAAAAATGTAGTCACCATCTATGTCCTTGTCTGGTTAGACTATATAATATATTCTTGAATGATTAGTCAGTGCTTCAGTTATTCCCAAGTTCTGCTGAATTGAGGTTTTCTGTTGATTGCAGGGTCAAAAATCTTTGGCATTGGATACAGCTATTGGAATGTGGCAACTACTGTTTGCTGAAAAACATTGGCCATTGGTTGATCACTGGTGCCAGTTCTTGCAGGTAGCTTTTAAAATCCATATTTTATTTTACTATTTGTGTTATGAATCGTGATTTTGGTAGTACAGAACTTGAATTATTTTTTAGTTATGGGACTGTAATTCTCGTACTCTTAACTTGTCATAAATGCCTTTCTGAGCAATGTCCCATTGAATGTTACCTGTTGGAATATTTATATCAAACGGTGACTATAATCACATTTATTTAGTATTTTTGTAACCATGTGTCTGAGTTTGATGTGCTTCAGAACTGAATTACTATATGTCATCATGTCATAATTTGTTGCTCCACCTTAACTCATTGGGAAACAGGCTGCACTGACATAAGATCGTGTTACCCTCTGACAGGGCTAATGATGCAAAACATCTCTCTTACTGATAGAACAATCTTATTTTTACGCTTAAATCTTGTTTTATTGTGTAGCCTCTCGCTGTATGACCATTCCATTCTGTGAAGGGAGTGTATTTGCTAGTTTGATGCAGTGATGCATTATGATACTTAGTAGCTAGGAATTTCTAATATATCCTATCAAGGAGGAAGATCACACAGGAATACTTTATCTGCTTCAAATTCCATTGGAAAATGAAACAATTCATCTCTATTGGAGCAACCAATCTTCCTTGGGCTCTGGTTTCATTTTGGCTTGAGGTCCTTATTGCCTAATGGCTGGGTGAGATGTCCGTGTGCTCAAAGAAATTATTCTGCCAATCAGTTGGTGAGATTCTTTTCTATCTGGTAGATGATGGTAGGTAACTTAAGATTAAAGCTTTCGATTCCTAGGTTAATTCATCAAACCTATGTTGTATGATAGTACACTACATTGTAACGACTGAATGCCATATTGGGTGTGGTGGATGTCCGTGAACATCTTCTATATGAAGGAGTAGTGTTACCATAGGATTTCATCATTAAGTTTCTGCCAAGGGATGATTTCCTCACAGGCGTGTGCTTTATTTTGCAATTTGGTTTTCCTTGCAGCATCATCTATATTTATGTGTTCTTGTTATATTAAACAATTCTGGTGGGATTTTTCCTTTGAATTACTAAACATGCCTCCGCTGTCTATTATATATATATTTTTAATTTTTTGTTTGATTTATGTTCCACTCTTTTTCGTTTTTTTTTTTTTTTTTTTTTTGGATTTGCATTCATTTCAGGCTCGGCATAATAAAGCAATCTCCCGGGATACTTGGTCTCAACTATTGGAATTTACCAGGGTAAGATACTGAACATCGAAGTATATGCTCTCTTTTTTATTGTTTTATTTCTTTATGTTTATTCTTTCGTATTTGGGAAAGAAATGATCAATCCCTACCCAAGAGTTTGCATAGAAGCCTTTCTGCAATCAAAAAGTTTATTTGTTTTTCCCTTAACATTGTACAAAAAATATCAGAGATAAAAAGGCTTATTGTTTGCCTTGTCATACAAAGCATTACGCTGCAGATATTATTTCTGATCCCATCCAAGACAGGACTATTCTCACTACTATTAGGGTCCACCACACTGCCGCCTCTCACCACCATTACCTCGTGATTGAGACCATGACCATACTTTTCGATACGGAGAATAACCTGCTAATTGTTGTCTTAATAAGATTTATTCGGTAATTTGTTATCATGAAAAATGTTGTAATTTTTTCTCTCTTGTGCAGACGGTGGACCCTACACTATCAAATTATGATGCGGAGGGTGCTTGGCCATATCTTATTGATGAATTTGTTGAATACATGAATGAGAATGGCCTCATTCAAGAGAGTCATCAGTCTAATGATTGGAGCCAAAGACGGTAATGACTTGTGGGTGATGGATTGCGCTGTGGATTTACCTTTCCTGGTTCCTCTCTCTCTCTCTCTCTCTCTCTCTCTCTCTCTCTGCACCTTCTTTTCTTACCCTTGAAAAGAAAGACCCGCGAATAGATAAATGTACTGTTTGACGAAATATGAATGACTCTTTTAGCCTATGGGATTTTTTCTATGGCTTCACATTCTCTTATGTTGTGCCTGAAGCTGTCCATGTCATGTTCACTTCTTGCGTTTCAATTCCTAAAATTTTTCTGAACACTTGGACTTGTTTTGGAAGGTTATATATGGACCCTAAATTAATATCCATAACCTTGTAAATAAAAATTATTAGTTATGTCACTTTTTTTTAAATCTATTTTGGTGCTTGAAGACCGCTTGCAACTTGGTGTTTAAACTTTAAAATTTGTCGTAAGATGTCTCATGCTGAGATGCATAATCGAAAATGTAAATGGGACAAAGCAGGTCCGATGTCACATCATCAAGACACGTGAAAATTCCATTGTCCTTCATTGTCTTGTCATGTGCCTAATTCACCTCTCCTTAACCATGACGATGGGCGTGACTATGTCTGCGATGGGCATGACAACGTCTGGAATGAAGACATCCGGCAACATTGTCTGCAATGACGACCGTTGAATGGCAACGTGGAAGACAAATATCTGATATGACGACAATGGGCATGACGATGTCTGCATTGACGACATCCGTCAATAATGTCTGCAATGACGACCGGCGAATGGCAACGTCGAAGACAACGTCCGAAATGTCAGATGGTGAATGGCAATGTCGGAGACAACATTAATAAAAGCGATGGTGAATGGCAACGTCGGAAACAACATCATGATATTTCAACGTCGGAAACAGCGTCAATAAAAGCAGTGAATGGGAAGGTCGGAGATGTCGGAGACAACGTTAATGAAAAGCGACAATAAAATGGTACGTTAATAAAAGGGGTAATATAATGGTAAAACAGTAAATTATTTTAGTAAATAAATAATGAATATGAAATTCATTATAGTACCAGTTAGGTATGGCCAACAGTTCGAACTGAACCGAAACTGAATCGCACTGTAGACGAATTGAAATCGGATCGAAATCAGTGGTTCAAAATTTTAAACTGGAATCGGTAGTTCAAGGACCGGTTAAGGTTTATGTGAATGTTAAAATTTCATTATAGACCAAGTAGGTATGTGCCAACAGTTCGAAACTGAACCGAAAACTGAAATCGCCACTTGTAGACGAAATTTGAAATCGGATCGAAATCAGTGGTTCAAATTTTTAAACTGGAATCGGTAGTTCAAGGACCGGTTTTAAGGTTTATGTGAATGTTAAAATATGAACCGAATCGGAAATTTTCTATTTTATTTTCAAAATGGTAATCACTTAGCCTATTTTATACATCTCTAAAAGTCTCAATAATATTATACTACATAATATATTTTACCTAAGAATTTTTTTTTTTTTAAATGCACTTTACTTTAAAAGTTAAAAATCTAAAAAGTAAAAAGGTAAAAAAAGAGAAATATTTAGTCTAAACTTATATTATTTTTAACTCTTTTTTTTACCCTTTTAAATTGTTTTTTAAGTTTAAAGTTACATTCTTTTGAAGCATTTTTCAAAATTTTCTTATAATTTATTTAATTAATAACATTTAAACAAAATAAAGTGATAATTTATTTGATTATTTTTTATTTTATAAAATAAGAATTTATTCATAGATGAATATAAGGCAATTCAAAATTTATTTAAAATAAAATTTATTAATATTTTTAAACTCATATTAATATATACGAAAGAAAGATGCTAATATTAAAATCGACTTTTTTTTTTTAAAAAAAAAATATTATCGCCCGGAAACATGGAAAAGAAACGTTTATTTAAAATAAAATTTATTAATATTTTTTAAACTCATATTAATATATACGAAAGAAAGATGTAATATTAAAATCGACTTTTTTTTTTTTAAAAAAAAATATATCGCCGGAAACCATGAACAGAATCGTCGGTTCGTCTGAACCTATTGGAACCGAAATCGGACTGAAACTGGTGGTTCAAAGACCGATTCAAGTTTAACATTTTAAAAAATTTAAACTGTCAGATCCGTGAACCGAAATCGAAATTTCAATGAACCGGCCATGCGAGTATCCGTATCCCATATTTTATCAAAGTTGGAGCCCAAGGAAGAACATGATAAAATCAAGTGAAGGTGGATTTGGGCCTAAAAGTCCAACTTTATAGGTATTATACAAATTGTATATTCTAGAAATTATAAATATTCTAAATATTTTAGAATATTCATTTTTTGTTGGGGTGCATTCCTCAAACTAGGTGACACTATTGTGTGGACTGGGGCAATCAAGTACACTATTGTTTTGTATTTCTAAAAAGTTACCAATTGTGTAAAGTTTAATTTTATTAAACTATATATGAATTTTTAAAAGAATATAATAAAGTTAGAATAAATTAAAATTAACTCAAAATTATAAGCCCACATCAAATCTTTCAACGAAACCACATCAACCGCACTTTTTATCTATTTCTTTCCAAATTTAAAATTTAAAAGCTTTTTTATCCCCTTCTAGAGATAGCCACCGATGAGATTTGTATACAAATATGAGTTATTATTGCCAAAATATGAGTTATTATCATCATTATGGTGATTTGGTCTAACGTCTTTATTATTTGGATAATCATGCAAAAAGAAGTACGGATCTTCTCTCTAATAAAAAGAAGAAATTTGAAGATAACTAAATTGGACCTGTAGAAAGACCATAGAGTCCAACAGTGGCTATTAAGCAAGCGATCACATATGACATAAATATTATGCTTTGTCAACTCGATCAAATACTTGAAATTAAGATTGTATTTTTAATTCTCTGTTTAAGTGGTTTATTATTAGACTTTCTATACAAAATATAAAAATATTGATCTGTATCTTATATCTGTATACAGTTTTCTTTTAATAAAATTTCCAGTTTGATGTTTTCTAAAAAACAGTAATTCAAAATTTTAAGTAAAATACTTGTCTGCTCATTATATTATGATGATAACATTTAACCTTTTTTTTGCTAATACTAATTATCTGTGTTTTAGTTATTCTCGTTAATGTTAAACAGAATACAACATCTTTAGTAATATTTACATTTATTGAAATTCAATAATAATTTAAATTATTTGTCAATTAATTTTGTTGATGTAGAATTTCATTAGGTGTTAATTAAAATTAAAATTTTATCAAAAATGGAATGCCCTTTTTATATTTACATATTAAAAGCTAATTTTTTTTTTACTAGATAATCAAACACCATGTAAAAACAACATAATGCTTTCTTATAGAAACTATGTTTGACAATAAAATTAAATAATATTTACAAATATACAGTATGGTTCTTTGTTATTAATTATAAAAAACTATAAATATTCAAATTGTCCAACATTATATGACAATTATAAATAAAATAAAAATATTATAAATTATAAAAAAATCATGTTCCAAAAATGGAAGGCAAAGAGTATAAAAATCCCATTTTTATAAAATTATTAGCACAAACATGCAAGGCAATCTACATATATTTAATTAGAAGCACACAAGGTAAAAGAGAAGAATTAGTAATTAAGAATACAAGTTTGGTATATTTTCCTTTGATAGGCTAAGAAGATAAAGCAACAAGCAATATAATGATTCCTTAATGGGGGAGAGAGAGAGAGAGAGAGAGAGAGAGAGAGATTTATACAACATAAACATAATACAAAATGCTTTATAACTAGGCAAAGGAAAAGAAGATACCTAACCTTCCCCACCAATAAGACTCCAAGAACCCAAATCCCTTGTTCTTGCTATCTTTCTATCTATCTTTCTTTACCCTTATTTCCAATTAATTCACTGAATGTTTTCCTCCTTCCATCTTCTTACTGTGTTGATCCAATTCTTTCAATGCCCCCTCAAAAACTCCATACTCCAAGAAGAACCCACCCTTTATGGTGGTGTGCAGCTATCATTTGCTCTATCATTTCCATAGCGGTAATCATCGTCGGAATCGTCATCTTCGTCGGATACTTGATCATACATCCGAGAATTCCGATCATTAGCGTTCTTAATGCTCACCTAAATCTCTTCGAATACGACATGTCTGGAATTCTTGTTACTCAAGTAAACATAATAATTAGGTCTGAAAATGACAACGCCAGAGCTCATGCTAGCTTTTCAAAGTTGGAATTGTCTCTTTTTTTTGATGGGTTAGAGATAGCGAGACTGATGGCGGATCATTACGAGGTAAGGAAGAATAGTACGTTGGATTTCAACTTCTTGGCGACTTCAGAACCCATACCATTAAATCCAGAGCAAATGAAAGATGTTGATGTTTACTTGAATGAGGATCTAGTTAGGTTTGATTTGAAAGGAAGCGTAAGAGCTAGTTGGAGAGTTGCAGTTCTTGGATCAGCTAAGTTCAGAAGCCGTTTGGACTGTCAACTTAAATTTCATAGATCAAATGGAACCTATATACCAGGTCGATGCACTTCTAAGTCTAAATGATTCTTTCTTTCTCTTTCTCTGCACAGTCTGTGTAGTTTTCTTCTGTTCATGGAGATCCATTTAAGAATATATTTCTCTCATTTAAGGTCCCTCCAGAAATTAAATTTACATGCAGGGACTTTCTGTTTCTTTTTCTTTTTCTCTTCGACAAAAAAAGAAAAAAGAAAGAAAGAAAGAAAAGGCAGATGTAGCATACTGAATAATTAAGAAAAATATATAGTGCTCTGTTCTTTTTCATTTTTCTTCATTGAAAATAAATATAGTCATCATTTGCTTGCTTCTGAGTTTTTTTATTTCATTATTTTTGATAATTTCTTATGTTGCACTTCAAGTTGTTTCCTTAACAATAATTATATCGAATTGAAATAAGAAAGAAAAAGGATTATTTTGAAGAAGCCTTTTATTATAATTCCAGATTTTGAAAGGATATTTGTATTTCAGACTGCTTATTATATATTTAACAATGGAAAAAGCCAACATTAATATAAACATGTGCTCCTACGAGATGGGCTGGTTGCCTTGCCTGCCACTACAAAAAGAATCGAAAGAAGACAGCCGCCAGAAAGCATTTACAAATGTCCATTTTTAAAAGTTAAAGAAAGCTTCTACAAATTTCTTCATACTTCTGGATTCATCTTTTCAGTTTTCATAGTACATCAAACCTACTTTGCTTTTCTACTACTTCCATACCCTACATCCTTCCCTTTTTTATTTATTTTTTATTGGTTTAATTATATTTTATTATTGAATTAATTTCTCAAATACTATTTTATTATGGAACTAAAAGAAACTATATTATATAGGGTTTAACATTTGCTTTGACCGAACTTGACTAAATATACTTTTATGATAACTAAAATCGGATCGAGCACTATATAAATCAGTTTGATATCAAATCGAATCAGATTGATTTAAATTTGATTCTATTATTCCGAACTAAATTATCTATTTTGGATAAAAAAAAATAGTTGGATTAGCTATATACAAGACTGAAATGAAGTCAAACATTAAATATCATCACGATTCAAACCCAATGGTGGCTGATCGACTTTTAATTATTGGTGGGAGAGAAATTGAACCCCACGACCTTTTTATCAATGAGACCTCCACCTTAGCCATTAAGCTAAGGCTTCATTGGCTTATAGAGCAAATATACATGAGAGCTTTTACCCCTTTGGATTTCGGATCAAAATTGTGAATTATAGGGTAGGGTCGGAGTGGACGTAAACTGCCCCACCTGTTCGATGCAATTTCAAGTTTTATAAACCAATATTTTCAAAATCGGATTGGACCGGTCAATTGAACGACTTAAACCATGAATCAGTATTTTGTCCAATCTAAATTGATCCTCTCATCTCTACTTCATAAAGAAGGCAAAAAAAGAAAAAAACAAAATTCATGTATGCTTCACCGTTGTTGATTGAACTTCAAATTCCTCTATTAATTTCTTTACTTATCTTCTCTTTTTGGGTTTTTGTGAATCTTTCTTATTAATTGATTTTGTATATTTTGACATTATGTATTGAAGTGATTTATGTTGTTTAATGACCTGAAATCTCTTTATTTCTGCATCTTTATTTTGTGCATATGATGCATCTTAACAGCCTGTAGAAAAAGGTGAACCGATGTAAAATAAATACCAACAAATGGACACAGGACTAAGCTCAAAAGCAACTTCAAAATTAGTTAATCCGATCATTAAAAACATCAAATACCATTACAGTATAATTAACAGCATCATCGAAAAGCACCAAGAATCAAATCGTCTATCCAATCCAAAATACCAAAAAGTGACAGAAAATTGAACCATATATCAACAATCAACAAGTTTGACAAAAAAAAAATTTGCTTGTCCTATGAAATTTCTACTGCTATGTTCAAAATACTGCTCCTACATTCAAAATGGTACTCCAAGCTTCAATATACAAGTCCTATTTGCACTTCCTGTTCCTATGTTGCTGCAAGTGACAAAATTTATAATCAATGATTAAAATTTTTTTGCAAGAAACATTAATTGAAGATATGAGTTATATATTACACCTCTATTCATGTGACATCCTATTGAATCGAGTTGTTGCATAGAGTCGAGTCGGGCCGAACCAGAACCCGGTTTGAGCTATTAGAATCCAGAGTGGGGTAGAATGGGATTGAAATTAAATACTTAAAAGAATTGAACTTAATTGAATGAAACATAAAGATAAAAGTATAAGGATTAGGACCTAATTGAACTAACGTATAAAGTTTAGGTATTAAATTGTAAAATATTGAAAATTTAGGTACTATTTGTCAATTTTTTACATACAATCAGAGATATATTTAGAGGTTGCTCGAAAATTCCATTCACGTTACCTTCTCCATCTTCTCCTTCGTCTTCTTCCTTCACTTTACCTTCTCCATCTTCTCGTAAATCTTCCTCCATTTTCTACCTTAATATTCAACCTTTCAAGCATTAAATTCAACCTATAACTCTATCCAAGTAAGTTAAATTTCTTGAATTTCGTACTTTAGTGATATTTTGGATGATTAATAACAGGTTATTATGTATAGGAGAGGTGAACTCAAAGTTAAAAGAAAAAGGAAGCTAAGAAGAAGGTTTAAAGCTTTTTGGTTGAAGGTTTGATATCTCTATTAGTTTAACAAATTTTCTTGCATGAGCATATGTATAGTGTGATGATAGTGATAAAATATGTTGCTGAATGTTGAGTACTAGGTCTGAGCATGTTGATAAAGCATGGGATGCATTGAATAAATGAATTGGATATATGTTGCTGAATGTTGGTACTAGGTTGAGCTGTTGAATAAAGCATGGGATGCATTGAATAAATGAAATTGATATTGTTCATACTGAAACAGTTTGTTGGAAAAACTGACCAGTACTTTCAACCGTGAATAGAACCTGTTACCGAGGGAATTAGGAAATGGGGTATAGAAGAGTTATTAAGAGTTATTTGTTCCTTTATGTTTTAGCTATCCATGAGCTTTGGAATCACCTAAATTGGACTTATAAGTTGAAAGATATGACCAAAATGGTACAAACTGTGCAGGCTGGAAATCAAAAATCTGGGCGGACTGGAAGTTGCTACTTTAACTCAATAGTTGACTACTTTACCAACATATTTAAGAGATCTGATTAAGACATATTTGGACCCTAATGTGTTATCTAACCATATAATTTAGAATTACCTAAATTGGATTTATAAATTGAAAGATATGACCAAAATGGTACAAATTGTGCAGGCTGTAAACCAAAAGCTGGACAGATTCAAAGTTGCTACTTTAGCTCAATATTTGACTACTTTACCAACATATTTAAGAGATGTGATGGAAAAAATATTTGGACCCTAATGTGTTAGCTAACCATAGAATTTAGACTTTTCTAAATTGGACTTATAAATTGAAAGATATGACCAAAATGGTACAAACTGTGTAGACTGGAAACCAAAAGCTGGATAGACTGGCAGTTGCTACTTTAGCTCAATATTTGACTACTTTACCAACATATTTAAGAGATGTGATAGAAGATATATTTGTACCCTAATGTGTTAGCTAACCAAGAATAGTATTAATGATATATATTGACTACTTTACCAACATATTTAAGAGATGTGATAGAAGATATATTTGTACCCTAATGTGTTAGCTAACCATATAATTTAGAATGACCTAAATTGGACTTATGTAGAAAGAGTTACGCTAGAATTTGTGAAATATGTACAGGTTGCCCTGTCAGAGTTCAAGGCTACATTAGAAATGATGTTGGGATGCATATGTAGATTCATTCCGCCTAAGATTTTTACTGAATTTAACCTTCTGAGTTAACTTAAATTAATATCAAGAATTTCCTTAATCTGAATGGTATAAGTTAAGTTACATAAAAATTAGTAAGAGTTGCGTCGCGGGTGCAACATTTAGATTATTTCCATGCAAATTCCTTTACAAGTTATCAATTGTTTGCATTATTACTCATTAAAGATTACTTGTAGTAGTCTATGACATCCTCTTAAAGCATGAAAACAGGTTAGCAACGTACAGAATGAGACATCATACAGGTAAATAGTATGGTTTATACATTTTACGAATAATTTCATATGTTTATTGTATTATTGAAATACAGATAATATGCTCCACTGAGGTTAGGTAGAAACCACGTAGATAAGACTATGTCGCGACATAGGATAGCATGAGAGTATGTTCTCCAACTGAAGGTGTAGGTAGATTACCTACGTCAATCACCACGTAGATAAGACTATGTCGCGACATAGGATAGCAGATCTGCGCTCCATACAGTGTGGTACTTCGGCTACAGGCCGTTGAGTGGATATCGGGTCATAGCAGCCCAGCCATATAGTATTCATCCAGTTTTATACAGTTCTTTTTATCACTTACGTTTCACTGTAACCTTATGGAGCCATACAGTTATGGATATTAGTATTTATAAATTATATGATGTTTAATAAAAGTTGTATAATTCATACAACATAATGAACAGCAGGTAAGATCATGAAAGTGTAATGATATGTGTGATTACATGTTTATTTTATTTTTTTATTTTTGGTTCTTATTAAGTTGAGATATCCACTGAGCTTTATTTGCTCTCCACTGAGGCTATTTTATTTGCTCATGTTTCGAGTTTAAGTCACTGTTTATACTGTGAGCGCAGGTTTGGATCTGGACCAGATAGAGAGTCATCTTTTACAACTACTGCAGTTCTCTTTGTATGAAGACCCAGCCTTTAGGGAGTAAGCTACTCATATTTTGATGATTATTGGTTCTGATGGAATGTAACAAATGGCACATATAGTCTGGGCCCAATTTCATTTTGGAAAATATAGTGTAATGTCTTAATAACTATTAAGTATAATATCTGTAATATAATATGATGTATAAAAGAGCAACAACATGCATATTTATTTAGCAATAGCAAGAATGATAATCAAACATAGTTGGGCCCATTTCATTTTGGAAAATAGTGTAATGTCTTATAACTATTAAGTAAATATCTGTATATAAATGATGTATAAAGCAACAACATGCCATATTATTTAGCATACAGAATGATATCAACATGACAGGACATAGG